GTGTCTCTTCCACCATTGTTTTCACATCGAAATTGTCTTGCCCAACGTTGAATCCACAATACCAATGTCAAATCCACGACGACGAGTGTGAGAACCCGAATATACAAATCAAATAAATAATTAAGTAATAATAATTTTACAATCTCAAATATTTTTATAGTGAATCCTAAAGTACAAATTAAATATTGTTGGAAGGTCTTTTAATTAATTTTAAACCTAAAATAAATTTATAGTGAAAATTTCTAATTTAGAGGCAAGATTTACTAGGGGGTTAAAGGAGTTAGATTATTTGAAGTGTGCGGGAAATCCTAAACTTTCATAATATTGAATTAGCAACCGTGAAGTCTAGAGAGGAGAGGAGATATGCATAGCTTTTGGATGAAAATTGAAGAACTAGTTTGGTGCTTGAATAACTCTATCTCCAAGGTAGAAATCGATATTTTGTAAATATAGTTATTAGGTATAGATGTTTCTGTGCATTCTTTGGAAGAAGAATGAATGAAAGATACTGATTAGGTGGCTTGAATATCTATCAGATTAATAGTTAGACCTTGCGAGTGAAACATGGGATACGTAGGCCTACTTGGCCACCACTGTTTGTGAATATCATGTTCTTTTTCTTTCTTTTTTGTTTTTTTAATGTAGTTTGAGGAATTAAATGAGTACATAAAGTTGAGGGTGCAATTTATGAGTATGAAATTTTGCATATAGCTATAAACTTTAAAAATCAAGAAAATATAGTAAGCAAATGAATTTTGAACTAAAATTTTTACAGTAGATTAATTACATATTGAATTGCATATCAGAATTTTCTAATAATTTTTTGGAGTCAAAATCTATATTAACTGGTGCGTTCAAATCTGTCCAGAAAACTGATGTAAAACAGTAACTTCAGAAGTGTCATTCTCTTTGGGTATAAATCCAAAAATTATCAAATCAGTGTCATTAGAACCAGTTGCGAGTCTAGTTTCTTATATTTTTGGCCTTGCATTGATTGCTCCTGTATACTAAGAGAAACATTAATTTCTTTAAAGTGTTGCAGAAAGCGACCTGTTTGGATATAATTAATTGTAAATAATTATTTTGATAAACAAATCAAGTAAAACCAATTGGATTTGAAACTTATGATATATTAATTGAGATCTGGAGGGTTTTGGAATTTTTCGAACAACGTAGAGTGGGTTTTGTAATTTTCAAAGTTAGCGAATAGATTGAGAAAGTTTGTTTAAAATTCTATTTTATTTTAAGGTTACTTTTAATTAAGTTTCGATTTGAACCCATGTCTTGGGTGATTTTAGACCTTGAAGAACAGGAGTTTAGGTTATATTTAAGAGTAACGGTGAGTTGGGTTGAGCCGTGTTAGTGCGTTTTAGTTTTGGGTACTTAGTTTCTTATTCTTTAGTATTTTTAAATTAGTAGTGACGTATAGTTTTCATACTTGGTTCAGGGCACTAGTTGGAGTTTTATACTCTATTCGAGGATTACATTATTCTGTTTTCAGGTGAGTAGTTGCATGCTATATGTTTTTTTGATAAATGTTTCCCTACCCTGAACTGTTGGAAAATTAAATTGTTGTTTCAAGACTAAACTGTTTTGATAAATTATTATATTATCAATGAAATTAAATTATTTCTAAAACATGTGTAAACTTGGCATACTGTAAACTATTTGTTATGGTCTAATATTTATAATGGTGAACTACCATGTTTTACGAAACTGTATTGTATTGATTATCGGGACCATCTGTATATTTAGTCCAGGGAAATTATTCCACTGTGTGTGGTGACTCTGGCCACTAGAGAAAAGATCCGGGTTGGGCCGTGATGACTATAGTGCTCAACGATTGTAAGGAAAAGACCTGGGTTGGGATAGGTGACCTTCAATTGGATCGTCTTAGAGAAAAGGCCCGGGTTGCTACCCCGAGGATGACTCTTGGTTCGATATTGGATTCAACGGGCTTATTGCCTTGAGAACTTCATGGCATGTTACTTGTTATTCTTGGTACTCAGAAAATTATTGGTGTTCATGTTGTAATCTATTTTAAGTGAAAAATGTCATTTATCATGTTCTTGAAAGACATAAGTATTTTAACTGTTGACCTGTGGAACCTTCTTTTCGAATCAAATTATGTTTATCAAAACCATATGCCAATCTAGTTTCTGTGATAAATATATCTTATTTTGGAATTGAACCATATTTTCAAAACTGTATTTACCATCCCGGTTGCTATTCACTGAGCTATCAGCTGATTTAGTTGTTTATCATTTCTAGGTGTTAGAAAGACTTGGAATGGACTCGTGGCGTAGCGGGGACTCAATTGCATGGACCTCTAGGACATACATTTATTTTGTTTTAGATTGTTATGTCAAGTTAGTGTATACTTCTTATTATTTTTATTGAGGTTTATTTAGGATCATTTTAATATGTGGGTTGTGTATATCCCATAAGTTTGGATGGTATTGATTACAGTTGGTTATGCTGTTTATATTTGTGGCATGTCACTGGATTGAGTTTTGGTTATCTATTACTAGACTATTGTATAGTTATTCAATGTGATTATGGATTCGTGTTTAGGCTTACGTATGCCTTGGACAAAGGCCCTATGGGCCACAGCCAGTCATACCCGAGTTTAGGGTGTAACAATTGTGGTATCAGAGCCAGGTTATCGAGTTGCATATCTTGCATTTCATCATTTAGACAAGGTCTGAGTACCTAGAGTCTTTAGTAGTGTGTGGTTAAGTTAGTTTTGTTTAAGCTTGTGTTGAGCTTTTCTTGATTTCATTTTGAAGGTTAAGAGATGGCACCTACACTACAACAAAATTGACTTTTTACAGCATCACATTAACGGCATACAATATATGCACGTCATAGTTTCTCACTTTTACGACTTGTTTTTTTTTGCACGTCGTAAATACTTTTCCAACCACGGTGTCTATTGCGTAGGCTGTAAATGGTAATAACGATAATTTTTTTACGGCTTGCAATGCACGCCGTAAATAATAAACCTTTCGGTGCTGGTTGGAGCTCAATCTTTTCTTGTTTGGCGGTAAAAGTAATTGGCCAACGACTACTATAATTTCTAATTCTCTCATGTATTTCTTTTATGGGTAAATTACACTAACACCCCTTGATGTTTATGTTTATTACAGTTCTCCTTCTCATCTTTTGAAAATTATATCTCCGTCTCTAAGATTTAAAGTTTCATTACAGATTCCTCCCCTCAGCAATTTAATTTTTTTAAATACCAATTTTGCCCTCACTAAGTAAATTACATTGACACCCCTCACATTTTAGAAATTACAATCCCCTTCCTAAAATTTAAAGTAGCATTACTAATTGCCCCTAGGTTAGTATTAGTTGGAAAAAAATTCACTGAAAAAAAAATAAAATAAAATTGGGAAAAAAAATATTTGAAAAAAAAAAAATTATTAGTAAAATTTTTAAATTTCTATTTAAAAACCTACGTAAACTCATTTTTTGAATTTACGTTTTTTTCTCAAATTTACAAACTGCGACAACCATTTATAAACCAAAAAATTATCAAACAAGTTTTTATGACAATTTTTTAAATTTATGTAGATATGAATTGAAAACTAAAACGAAATAGTTACCAAACTTGTTTTAGATGGTAAACATATCGTAAAATTAATAAATAATTAAATAAGTTACCAACGTAAGAAATGACTTATCAAAAGATTCTAAGGCTATGTATGGTTTAATTTTTAGAAAAAAAAAATTTAAAAATTAAAAATTAATTTGGTTAAGAAATAAAAAATAAAAACAATTATCATTTTTATATAATTTTTATCTTTTGAGTGGCTAGAAATAATTTTAACAAATTAAATTGAAACAGTCATACGTATGTATATAACATGCCCAAAAGTAAAAATGATAATTATTTTTTACCCTTAAATGATAATTTTTTTATTTTTTATTTTTTAACCAAATTAATTTTTAATTTTTTAAAAAAAAATTCTAAAAATCAAACCATACATACCTAAAATCTTTTGATAAGTCATTTCTTACATTGGTAACTTATTTGATTATTTGTTAATTTTACGTTATTTTTACTATCTGAGACATATTTGGTAACTATTTCATTTTCAGTTTTCAATTTATATTTACAAAAATTTTAAATACTATCATAAAAATTTGTTTGATAATTTTTTTGTTTATAAATTGTTGTCTCAGTGCTGAATCTGAACCAGCTGTGATAATATCTGAAGCCCTTGCAAATTTTTTTGGTACTAGTGGAAGGGAGATGATTCAGTCTGAGGTCTTGAGACATGTTTGGGAATACATAAAGGTCAACCAACTTGAGGTGGGTAATCGAATGCATGACTCAGCTCAATTTCTTTTGTTGGAATTTTGTATTAACAAGTTATTAGTAGCTAGAATAACTTGATTCTGAAAAATATGTTCGTTACTGTTGCAGTGTCCAGTTAGGTTTGATTTTATTTTATTTTCTTCTCTTTTAAGTTGTATTTATCAATGATAGCATACATACTATATCTGTGTTTGGTCCAACTAATGGGAATAATTGAGGAGTTTTAGCTTTACTATGTTCATACAAAAATTATTTGTTTCAACTCAATAAATGGGATGGCTGCCATCAAATTGAAGAAACCACTTGGGTAACCTGCAAGTGGGCTTTGAGTCAGAGATTTTATTTTCCTGGGTACCATGTTTAATATATCCAGTTGAGAACGATGGTATTTACATGTGTCAACTGTTGATGAAGTTGTTTACTGTATATAAATATTAGTTTCACTTTCATCTTGCTGTCATTTTTTCCCTTTCTTGTTATCTTTGTTCTTTCAGTGGGTTCACGTCATATTGAATTCAATTCACAGCATTTCTTTGAACCAAGAGCATATTTTTTATGATTTATTTTCACAAACAGTTTACATGCTAGATGAAAATAGATTTTAGCCAAGTTGTCATGTATGCCTTGCCGTTTATTGAGAGGCTTGTTTTCTACAGTGGCTGAAATTGGGATATAAACGAAGGTCTTTGCTTTTTCTTTTTCTTTTTTATGAGTAGAGATTTAATAAGAAAGGACCTGTGTGCCATCCGTATGCAAAAAGCATCAAGGGGAAGGCAACCCTATACAATATAAGGAAAAGCAAAAATCCTTAATACACATCAAAATCACTCAAAAGACTGTTCAAAATCCAAAAATGGGGTCATGACGGCTCTACAACATCCAAAAATCAACTATACAATAAAGGCAAAAATCTGCTATTTAATTTAAAGATGGGCCCTTCCAGACCTTCAAGAATCAAAGACATTTTTGCTCCTGCCAAATGATCCACATCAAAACCAAGGACCCCAAAGACCACCCCATTTTCCTTCTCTTCCTCACACTAGCCTCCACCCAAGGTATGGAAAGAATCCATCACATTTCTAGAAAAACCCAAACAATCCCAAACATGTCAAGAATCAATAAATGAAGATCTCTTATGAATGCAGAAAATGATATATGGGACAAGCGGCAGTAGAAGAAAGAATGATTGCATTATGGGGAAGCTACTTGTAGGACTACTTGAACAAGATGAGAGAATGATATGAAGATGGGTTGGTCTTGTTAATAAATGCAACTAAATCTATTCTTATCTTTTGGACAGTTGCTAGACAAATCTTTTGCTATTCCATTTAATATCCTTGCTATTTTTCTAAACAAAATGGTATACTATTTTAGTTCATTTATATAAAAAGTTTTAACCCAAGAGAATTTTTGCAAAGATATCAAGCTCATAGCAAAGAAGATTTGGAAAAAATAATTGCAAATCAATTGAGCGCAAGCGAGACATATGTGACGCAAAAATGATAGTTCTTACTTGCACTCATTGATTTGCAATTATTTTCCTTATTTCCATTTATTTGATATTTCCCTTAGTCATGAGCCAGGATAACCAAATAATCAAGTTGCCCAAATACATCGGCATTTGACCTTCTTACTATTTCTTCACTTTCTTATTAGTAAGTAATAAATCTGCAAATTAATTTTGTAACCATCTGTGTGACGAAAGCATAGAACCTCTGCAAGCAAAGACAGCAAATTTGGTAAACTTATTACCTTTGTTTTTGCTGAATATGATCCTCCTCCGAACATTCCAGAGGGGGTAGTCTCTTCTGGCATCTCATGTATGTAAGGCGCAGCCTGAGGACCGAAGGTTCCAAGCATCTGCTTCGAGCTGTCAACTGAAAAAGAAATATAAAAGAGTCCTCAGCATCTGAGGGTGCAAACAAAAAATGAACCTTGGCTCTTACAGAAAGAGAGAGAGAGAGAGGGTACCCTTGAGACCAGTTTTCCAAACAGTGTTAATGTACCTCAGGCCAGAAACAATATTGTTGCTGACCCGAATGGAGAATCTCAGATGGTAACAGGTGTCTTCTTTCAGTGTAAACCACACTCCTTTGGGGTCCCCATTGGCAGGAATCTCAAGAACAAGAGCAGGTCGACCAGGGCAAAGGATAGTAAGGCTCAAAATCTTGACATCAGGTTCTAGAGTTTCTACAATATGGAAAATAGAACAATCAAAAGAAAAAACTTAGTCTCATCGTCCCAATTGAAAGCAAACCAATCCACACTTAGTTAAAAACAACATCAAGGACTAAGAGATCAGTAAATTTTGTCAAGCCCAATTCCTCATATAGATTATCCCATTTGAAAGCAAACCAATCAACTTAGTTAAAAACAACATCAAGGACTAAGAGAACAGTAAAATTTGTCAAGCCCAATTACTCATATACATTATCGCAAATTAATGTGTGGAAGGCATAAGATGTTGGCTGAAACACCAAGATAATACTTGAGTAACAAAGTTCACAATCATTTTTACAACAAGCCCCCTCCACACCCCCTTCTCCAAAAATCAAGGAAAATACACACAAAAATACAAAATATATATATATATATATATATATTATTTTAAATAAATAAAGAAATAAGCTAAACAGGATTCACCCAACTCAAACTAAATATTTCAGACAGAGCCTTTGCATTACAGAAAGGTGAATAGTTAGAAAAAAAACACATATTTGCCATGTTATGAGCTTTCCTATGAAAATAAATATATGGGATGAATGTGGAGAAAAGGTCACGGGATTCTCTATTCAAAATAGTTTTCCCCGTGTTTCCAAATTCTAAACCCATAATTGTCTCAAAATTATTGTGTTTTGAGATTCCAACCACATTGTGCGGCTAGGAATGCATTGGGCATAAGGGGGACAGAAAATCCCTGGCAGCAGAGAAAGAATCAAAATTTAACACAATTAGAAATTTGTTACCATTGTTTGCTTTTCCCATGTGGCAATTAAAAATTTGAAACCATGATCACAAACACAAACATGAGCACTAGAATGGTCAACTTCTTTCTCATCATAGCAATGCTACAAACCATGATAAAATTGGATGAAAATCGTCTCAAAGCCGTTGCCAGTCAACTAACCTAACCTAGTTTCGAGACTGTTTTCATGAAACATTTTTCATGATCTATAGGATTTTTGTTCTCATCACATTTGACGAACACATTGGAAACTATTTCTGCCCCATTCAAAAAATGACTTCCAACAAACAGTAAACAATTGAATAGATTCTAAGAATTTTGGTATAGGATCCTGTGTCCCCGACTCCCCAAAACCCCTGTTCCCTGCCCAAATATACTACCAGCCGTACCATATGTAGAGAATCTTGAGACACGATTCTGCGGCTGAGAGTCCATTGGAAACAGAAGAACAGTAATTTTTTTTCTCTCCTGCTAAGAGAGCATTCATTCTTTAGTTCATTTCTCAAAAAACTTCAATTGGTACACGCAAGAAATAGGCCAATTCAGCAGTTTTTTGTTCAATTTCTCGTGAAGTAAAATTCTCATCAGTACGAGTCAAGGGAATGGCCCCCTGGCCTCGGATTTCCATATAAAGAACACAACAAGCATAAATACCTCTTTAACTTCTATTGTCACGGACTGAATATCCTTTTTAAGAAATCGGAGGTGAAATGGTTTTGATATCATAAGCTAGATCACAATTAGCAAAGTTTTTATTCATGAGACTGTTTACACATCAATTAATGGTTAACAGACAAGTTACCAACATAGATCAACTAAGATTCAAGAGCAACAAAGTACCTTCAACCACATTGACATCGACACTGCCAAGAAGCTGTTCTTTCCACCACCTCAAACTCTCATCATCCTAAACCAGCACAGAACCACAAGAAATTCAACAACAATTTCACTTTTGTTTCAAGAGAAACAAACAAAACAAACCTTGTCCTTTTCAAGATGCTCTTTGATACTGCAAATGGGACCCAATTGTAGACGAGCTTCTTCTTCTTCATCCTCCTTGTTACCCTTTTCTTCATCCTCTGTGGCATAACAAGAAGTCTCACTTGGCTGTCTGCTATGACTCTGCATTGGTTGGGTTGGTTTTGTTTCAGAGGTGACATTGTCTTCATCCAAACCCATTGTTTGAAGACCTCAAAAAACAAGAAATGGGCAAGAATAGCAATAGAACAGAGAAAAAGCCTCACAGACCTTCAAACAAACAGATCATATGCAATGTAAAGAAATGGGAGAGAATGAGTGATACCCAGAAAATGAAGAGACCCAAGAAGGTAATGATTAGCCATACAAAGGGCAGACAAAGAACACAATAGAAACATTATCAATAGCCATAGAAGGAGGACAAGTAAAAAGTGGAAAGAGAAAATAACAGAAGAAAATTATCTGTTTTTACTATTGTTTTTGGAGCTGTTTGTGTGGTGAGAAAATGATGACCCGGAAGAAAGAGAGCGGTTTTTGTTACCTTGGGAGTGTATGCCATGATTGTAGCTCTTGAATCAACTACCATCAAAACCACAATATTGGGCAATAAAGCCGGTCTCTTGACTCATTCTTGAGCGTCTTGGTTTGGCAATCTTCAGTTGAAAAAAAGGAGAAATTAGAAATCAGTTAAACTATTCAAAAATAGTTACATAAAAAAAAGATAAATTACAAATACAACGATTTGTTTAAAATATAAATTATTTTTGTGATTTAAAAAATTATAAATATTTCTTTGTCATAATTTTTTATTTAACAGAATTAATTAAAAAATCAAAATTTCTTACTGTTCACCCATACAATAATAAAATTATCTGAATTATTAATTGAAATATAATTTTAACATTATTAAAACTATTAATTAATTTGATGATTTATTAATAAAATAACCTATTTGCTATGGAATTAGAAATCTTAGGGACATAATGTAATTTCTAGAACCACAGGGATAATTTATAATTTAAGTAAACCTTAAGGGGTGCGTTTGTAATTTACCCTAAAAAATTGTGAGTTTAATAATTAAAATTTGCTATTTCTCTTTCAAAATAATATATATATATATATATATATATTATTTGTTTTAAGTAAATCTTTTAAATTGTGTTAAATTTTTTTAGAAGAATAATCTAAAATGGAGAATTTGGCAGTAAATATCTTTTAATGGGGTTTTTTTTTTTTAGGATCTCTGGTATTAACATTTTATAGTATAAAGGACATCTAATATTTTCATAATGTCTAAGGTCCCTCAATTTGATCCAGAGAAATTCTGCTCTAGAGAAATTCTGTCCAGAGAAATTTCAAACCAGAAAAATTTCCATCCAGAGAAAATTAAAACCAGAGATTTGAAATTTTTCTAGTTTGTTCAGTTTTTTTGATTTTCTATGTTTTGAAATTTCTCTAGGGTTGAATTTTCTCTAATTTTCTCACAACTAACTCTGTGATTTGCGTTGGTTCTTCATGTGAGAATTGAGCCTTATCATCCAAAGCTTCCACATATTATAGGAATGAAACACTGGAATATCTTGTCAATAATTGCCTTAAATCACATGTTGTAAAGAAATTTTAATCAATGGACAAAAAAAGAAAAAAGAATTCAAATGAATTAGAGCACTGAGAGAAGAACTCTGTGGGTTATAAAATGAATTCAATTCTCAAGTTGACATCATTAAACCTTTATACATACCAAAGATTCAAAAAACATGATTTCCAAACCAGAGAAAATTTACAGAGAAAATGCCAAATTTCTCTGGACAACACTTGAGGACTAGTTCAATTCAAACCAAAAAATTTCTCTGGATTAACCTAGAGAAAACTCAGTTCAAACCATAGAATTTCTCTAGACCAATCTAGAGAAAATTCAGTTTAAACCAGAGAATTTCTTCGGACCAACCCAGAGAAATTTCAGTTCAAATCAGAGAATTTCTCTGGTTTCAACGCAGAGAAAATTCAATTAAGGTGATCGTGATTTACCATTTCTTTCTGATAACGGATCATTTGAATCAGCTTTTCACTGCCACTGCAAACCTGCCCTTCCTTTGGTTCTTCATGTGAGGATTAAGCCTTATCATCCTCACCATCAAGAGAGAGAGAGAGAGTCTCTGATCAGAAGAAAGCTTTAACTGTTCCAACAATGGCAGAAATCTTAGAAGCAGAACCACCCGTATCTTCTTCACCAGACTCCCCAGCAAACAACAACAAATCAGAAATTCCTTTGGACTTCAACCCCAACACCATGCGAATCACCAAACCTGGATTGAAGCGCCTCATTCTCTCCCTCACCGTTCTCTTCTCCTTCCTCTTAGGTCATTCTCTCTCTCTCTCTCTCTCTGTATATATATATATATATATATATATATATATATGTGTGTGTGTGTGTATGTATATGAATTTGGTGTTTCGATTGTGTTGATAGGTCTTCCATTCTTGCTGAAATCCATCGAGATATACCTCTTCCATTTCGCGACATCGATTCACTTTCAAATGCAATCAAATCGACTCCACTGGTCTTCCCTTGCCGCTTTCATGCAGTCTTTGTAGGTTTCGATCACAAATCCTCACTCAAGTCGAGTGCGGATAAGCTAGGGTTTTCAATTCTAGGTCATATGACCAAGTTTACTGGCGATGATTCGGTTTGTGGCTGCTCTGCAGTAGAGGAAGAGAGATAAAGAGTCAAATTTCTCTGATATGTGTTTAGGGACCTTCGATATTAAAAAATAATTTTGTGGATCTCTTCTATTACAAAAAATGGGAGAGAGACCCTAGACTAATTTTTTCCTTTTAATGACTTATTTTCTCATAAGATTTGACCCAATAAATTTCAAGTGTCATATTATTAACTTTTATAGATATCTACCTTTTACAATTACAATATTTATAATTCTTTTACCTCTGTTCCTTTGTCATTGTTAAGTCAATTCCATCTTCTAAAATCCAGTTTGTTGTGGTTTGAAGGTGATGAAATTGGATTAATAATTTAATCAGGCCTCTTTTGGCAATCCAATTTTTTTTTTTTGTATTTTTTGGTTTTTAGTGATTTTTTTTTTCAAAATTATGTCAATTTTTTCTTTTACTTTTTTTGTCCGTCTTATGACAAGACAAATCTAAAAAATATATTTTTTAAAAAAAATTTCAAACAAAATTTGAAAAAGCCAAAATTTGATTTTTTTTTTTAATAAAAAGTTCAATAAAAAAATAGACAAACTACAAAACAAGTTTGAATCTCCCATAAATCATGTTTGTTTTAAAATAATGTCATGCGACTAGTTTCATGAATTATGAGGGTTTGAGTAGAAAATATCATTATACCTTCACTTTACAAAAATAATAAAATTACTTTTTATATATTAAGGACTTTTATAACTAATAGCAAGTCTAACACTATTCTTTGGTTGTGAATGGTTTACCTTTGAAATCATGATTTTAATGGTGAAATTTTCAAATCATTTTTCTAAATTTATAATCAAATACATAATTCAAAATTACTTAAAATTTAATTTCAAAATTAATTTCAAAAGTTATAATCAAACACACAACTCAAAACTCAATTTATATTTTTTTTCAAACCTTTAAACTAAACTTTTTTCAAAACTCTATTTTAAAAGAAAAAATTCAAAAAAAATATTATTTTATTTTATTTTTAAAATCATGATTTGAGTATGGAGTCGTATTTTGAGTTATGAGTTTTGAAAAGAGAAAATTTGTCTGGTTATGAGTTTTAAAAAAAAAAAATTGAGTTGTATTTTGAAATTTTTGAAATTTATTTATTTTTAAATATTTTAAAATTTTCGTAATTTTATTTTTTAGGGTAAATATTTTATATTTATTTTAATGTGCATTATATTTCATACATTTATGTGTTGTATTTTTTAATATTTTAAATACTAAAAATTTAAAATATATATATTTTTTATTTTAAATGTATAATTTTTATTATAAATATTTTTAAATTATTTTATTTTATGATTGTGTTGGTAAATCACCGGTATATTTTTAAATATTTTAATTTTTTTGTTATGCGTTGATTATGATTTGAGTGTAGAGTTTTGAAAATAGTGTGGAGTTTTGAGTTATGTGTTTGGCAATGAGTTTTGAAAATAATTTTTGAATTGAGTTTTGAGTTATGTGTTTGGTTACGATTTGAGTATAAAGTTGTGTTTTTAGTTTAAAAAATTAATATTAAAAATTAAAATATTTATGAAATAAAAAAAATGTTTAAAATAAAAAATATATATTTAAAATAAAAAATAAAGTTTTCTTAAACATTTTTTAATATTTTAAAAAAATAAATCCAAAAAATTCAAAATACAACTCAAAATTCAATAACTCAAAACTCAAAATATAATTCAAAACTTTTTTCATAATTCAAAATTCAAAATTCAAAAACTCTTTTCAAAACTTCTTCGAAAACATTTTTTAAAACTCATAACTAAACAAATTTTCTATTTTCAAAACTCAACTCACAATTCCACACTCAAATCACAATTCCAAAAAGAGAATCACAATTCTAAAATTAAACCAAATGCAACCTTTGTTTTTCACTAGTTAAAATACAAAAAATGAATATATTGTTTATTTTGCCTAATTATTATTTTTATTTAAAACTCGAACACTACTTTTTAATTTACCTAACCATTTTTTTATTTAAAACACCAACACTACTTTTTATTTTATTTATTTATTGATACAAACTATTTAAAGAGTCACCCACACGTAAATAGTTTAGAAAAATTTTATTAAAATAACTAGTATAGTACTTAGCCCCTTCGTGAAAGTAAAATAGTACATGACTAATTATAATAATGAACATGCCCATTTTAAAGAGCACATACACTATAATACCACACAAATAACCACATCAATATATCTTATAACTAGGGTTACTGTCACGACCCGCTTCCCGTATTCAAGGGTTAAATATCGTGATGGTCAGTAATTGAAATTATCTCCAATTAATTCTTAAACAAATTAATAAACATGAGCAGAAATAACATTTAAGTGAAGGTACCAAAATAATTATCGGAACTTCCATTTTTATTATAAAATTTATTGATAAAAAATGTCGATATTTACATATAAAAATATCATAAAATGTTGTGTGTGTCTATTCCACAGCCCCGCGTCTGAGACTTTTCAAAAGTTATTTCGGAATTACATTGTTTCCTGAAAATTGGTAAACAGCAATAAGCACATGGCAGAGTAAGAAATATTATGCCAAAAATATAAGGGACAGAAAAAAACCATGGATAGTTATGTAACTAAAATATTTAAGATAACTTGGTCTGAACAAATAATCATTTAAGTAGCAAAACTGAAATTATGTAAATAAATAACCATAACCACGGTACTGAACAAAACAGAACAGAGGTCACAGGAGTAACAGTCAGAACAGAGGTACGGATTCAACAGGTGGCTCGTACGGATTATAGAGGTGGCTCCCATAATAGTGCAGCACTTATCTCCGCACAGAACAAAGGTCAA